GCACTCCGACCCCTGGCTTACCTGAACAAACTGGAATTCACTTTCAAAACACCTTCCCAGGATCGTTTATTTGCTAATCTTTTGGGTGCTGCTAGAAACCTTGCTATTTAGGAGAACCATAAATATTTTATTCAGCTGCTGCAGCTGTTATTATGGTTTACCAGCGTCCAGTTTTATTTTGATCAGTTTTGCTTATTTTTAGAAGAATTAAAAATTGTTTTAGAAGCTGCTAGCTGTTCAGAGTTCAGGATGAATGTTAATAAGATTGGCCCAAATTTAAAAGTATGTAAGCAAAACTGTTTATGCAACACTGATTTCCTCTCCCTTGTTATTCATGGACAGCTGCTCTTAAAAATCAGGAGATTCTTCAGAACAGGATGATCAGACAGAGAGACTAATCCCATGTGAAGGTGCCCTTCGTTCAGCCTTGAATCCAAATTACTGCCTATATTTAGTAATGAGAAAGCAAACAAAAACTTGTTATACTGATGGGTAGTGGGACTAATTCACAGATCAAATCTAATGGCAGATACTATCTTTACTTTTGGATAAGTATCTTTACACTCCAAAAGGACAAAAAGTGTAATGTTGTATTTCAATACATTGTAGTGTTGAAGTAATGAGAGGCTGCTATAGATTCACTCCCATAAGATATGTCTGTCCATTTTTTGCTGCCTCTTAGTACCGTCATTGCATGGAAATAGCTGAGGAGCATAGGAGATAATAAATGTTCTGGACATGGTGGAGTTATAGACTCCAATGCATCAATCATTTACAGGAAAGCTATTATTACACTCTAAATAGATGCTTGCATCTCAGTGTAATTGCTGAGTGGAGGAAATTGCTCCACTTAACCAAGATCATACTTATATATAAATTCCTTTCTGGAAAGCATTGAGGAAAAATATAGGGGCACAGGAAAATGACACAGTGAAGAGATTACACACAGGAGATCTTCCATATTTGTACTAATGAAGCAAATTATCCTAAGGCGAAGAAAACTGCTTCAAAAAGCAAGTTGTTCTGTTTCAGATCAAAATGCTGAAGGGAGCCTGATCTGTCTCTTCAATATCAGCCTAGCTATTTTAATCTGATACAACACTTGAATCAAGTCCTTTGCTTTGAAGATGTGCTTTAACTGAAACCTTGGCAAGAGACGTTCCCTTCAAAGCTCCACACAGCTTTACTGCCTGGTTACTTATATTTCTTTATTCCTGTCTGTCCGGAAAAGTTATTCACTTGTTAAAAACACAGAATAATACTTGGGTAAATAGATTATCCACAAGTTATACTTTACAAATTGCACCTGTAGATATATCCAGAACTTGCTGGTAAACTTGCCACAGTGAATTATAGGAGCACTTCTTTTACTAGCTCAGCAGTATAGCCCTTGACTATATTATGCCAAATAAACAGAGAATGGAGATCCCTGTGGCATTAAACAGGAAATGGATTTTTAATTATGTATCTGTCACAATGTCATTTATAATTAGTATGGTATAATCAGATATTCCTTCCCCACTGTAGGTGGGCTGATGAAGATCAAGTCACATTTTACTGTATATCATCTGGTAATTTGCACATTTGAAGCATTAATAGAGCACTGAAGATAAATTAACCAGTTTGGATAAAATTATAATATAATGTGTGGATGATCTTGGAAAGCGAGAAGAAGAGATGCTGTCTTGGAAGTGTTCTAGTTATCAGGAAAGGAAACTTGGAAGGACCCACCCTAATGCATTAAGCATCAAAATAGTAGTGGGAAGTTTGTGAGATTCTATTAAGGTAGCATTGCAATAAAGTAGAATTAGTTCATCTAGTAGTTTCCCTGCCTGGTTTACCCGAGAAGGCGCTGATTATAAGCTTACTGAAGATAAGGATGTGAACATGTACAAATAATAGCAGTAGGAAACAGCAAAAGTAAAGAGTATTAATGACTAAACAAGAGCTTTCTATAGGTAAGAATCTTAAGCTTATTACAAAAGGAAGTCATATATGTCATAAGGATAATAATAGAGTGAGGGTTTTCAATTACCTTTTTTTTTTTGCTAATACTTGATAGATTTATGGAAATTTATATTCAAGCAAAATCTGGATTAGATATTGATAATTAGGCTACTAGAGTGTTGTGGTTAGCTGGCAGCAGGTGTGGGCGGCTGAGGAGAGTGAGGACTCAGATGAGGGGCCAGGACCATCAGGGAGTGGACAGCTGCTTTCAGAGATTGTGGGGGCTGGCAGCAGCAATGAGGACGTTCCTGAGGAGCCTGTGCCAAGTGCACGTGAGCACAGGATTGCTTGCAAGAAAGAGCAGCTGCAGCAGCACGGGCAACTTGGGAGTAAGGCTGCAAGGTAATGGCCCCTCCTTCAAGAAGATAAAAGCCAGCTGTGGATCAGACATTCTTTGCAGGAAGCAAAGATGTTTTAAAACTCAAACCTCATGGACATTGCAGTATCTTAGTTGGTATCTGTGTTGTAGAATACTTCTAGGTAACCTTATCTGTTATTTTTAGCAGCCTCACAATTTTGGCAAGACTCGTGCTTATCAAAGTTAATTAGTTTTCAGCAGCCTTTTAACCGGGGATTCGTAAAAACCATTAAAAGGTTTCTGTTCCCCTTTGGTTCATGTTTGTTTTATTGGACAAGGTTTGGGTCAAAACATAGAGTGAAATGGCAATCAATTGTATGTCAAAAATCCAATTTCCATAGCAAAATGTTTTAGTAAATGGCTGTAACAGACCTTCAACTGTAATGTCCTAAGGTTGCCTAGTATCTTCAGAGGTAATCTGTAACAAATCAAACAAATGGAGAATTTCATACGATTAACAGAATTCTAGTAACTGTCTTTGCATACAGCCAAGGTTTATTTCTAACGTCATCGTGTCAGGTGTATGAAGTCTAGCATGCTTGCCTTTTGCAGATGTTCAGAACAATTTTCTTCTCAGTGACTCTTTATATCCAGAAATTTGATTCAGAATATAAGAGGAAAATGTAAAAGATAAAAGAGCATGTAATGAGTATGTTACGTATCTGCGAAATTAAGAAAAAGATGTAATAAGATTTGAATAGAATCTGATACTTAGTTGAACAATATGCACACAAGTAAGTAAAAGTGTAGGTTTAATTATGAATGAAAGCTGATTAAAATATGAATTAGTGTCTATGTGCATATGATAGCAGAAATCTTATGTTGATGATTGTTGCATAGTAATAATGGCAATTCTGGAAGGTGGGTTTTAGGAAAAATATGACCGATTCTAAATGAATGATTCCAAGGATGGAAATTATGGTAATGTGGGAATAAAAGAGAGAGACTGAGTTGTTCAGAAACTAAAAAAGAATTCTCTGCTTTGAATGTTTATTACCCATAGTAGTAATGAGGCACACATAGTACCTGTGTCTTGACAGTTGGAAGAATGCTATATTTCTATTATATAAAGGGAAACAGCTGGAATTTGTAAAAAGATAGATCATTCAAGGTTAGTCTGGAAAAATGACAAGATTTTCATTGAAATGGTATTAAAACGTAGCAATATACAACACTAAAATATATTTTTTGCAGAACACGTTTTGCTCTTCAGTGGTTACTGAGAATTAAGTTTCTTTATCTAGAACTGTTATAATATGAGAACAGACTTTTATAAGCCATTTGGATGAATGTAGATTGGGAAATTAATTGCTCAAAGAAGGGGCAATAAGATCGAAATAAAGCATTGGTGAGAATTATTAGTAAATGACTCAGCCTGAATAAAGTCAAACAGTATGTGATGTTCTCTTCTCTTATGTTCTCTAAGGAAGGCTTAAAGTGACCGAAGATATACCAATGCTTGGTTTGCAACAAAACCTGGCACTATGTGATGTGATAAGTTCTATAAGCCATAAAAAGGAGTGATGGAATGAAAAATGAATAAACAATTGGAGAGATTGAGTCCGCTAGCTTAGAAAGGGCTTCTGGAAGATGCAAGAGCTGCCATCAAGAATCTGAATAGCTAGCAAAATTATTCAGTTGTTCAAGAAGACAAAAACCAGAAACAATGGGGTTTAGGCACAAGTTAGTTTCTTCTTGTTAAGAGCTGTTTAGTCATAGATCATGCTACTCAGAAGGTAGTAAATTCTTCACCAGGGCTGTTTAAACAAAGGCTTGAATGTTCAACTGTCAAGAATATATTCCCATACAGGTTAGATTAGATGAATTTTCATAATCCCAACATTTATATTCTATGGTTCTAACAAATATGGATCTGGGAACGGAAGTATCAAAACCCATAGTTGTGTTTGTTGTGTAAAATACATATAAAACTTTGTTCCATGTTATACATAAATGGTAAAAAAAAAAAAAAACTACGATACTGAATTGGTATCAATTCTTGGTTGAGTATTAATAAAAAAGATGAGAAAGTGGATGAAAATTACAACGGATAAGTAGTAAGTCCTGTGGTGATTGTTGCAAGAAATGAATATTTGTTCAAAAAACAAAAATGGCTTATATATTTCTACAGTGAATAAACATAGTAAAACAAGGAGATAGTTAAGAATTGATGGGTGCTTTAGAATTTGAATATAATGACCAGTCTAAAATAAGTATGTTGATATATGATTGATCGTGTATAAAGAATAAATGAGGGTAAATTAACAAATATACAAAGAAAAAGTTAATATGTTTATCATTTGGAAAAAAACCTGGGAAGATGAAAAACTCAGTTGTAATACTAGAAGTACTCAGAAATAAGCCACATTGGTTATAATGCATTCTCAGGTAAATCTACACTAGTTTAGCCTTGCAATCAAAATCAAATGTATTACAAAAGAGCATTAACCTTCAAAATAAACATGATGGATATAGTTAAAATATGTTTTGTTCCCATGCTTTTAAAATTATTTTATTTTCTAGTATATAGTTGAAAGTTCTCTAAGGACAATTAAGCATGTACCCACCAAATGTTAGACATGGATGCTGTTTAGGTTTGGTTCGGTTATGGAGATTAAATTGCTTTCTATGGTAATAGACAGCAATTATAAAGAGGCAACAGAGAATACAGAATTTCAATGTATTGTATTGAGAAATAAGAAATTTTGTTTTAGAGGAAATAAATGTATACACAATAAGGATAAATCTATAAAAAATAGCTTTTGAACAATGTGGAGAGCAAAAAGAAATATTCAATATTGTTTCCATTAGATTTGTATAGAAACTTAAACAGACACTAAACATTTTTCCATATTTTTATTTCAATACAAAACGCTCGTTTTAATTTCTGTACATAACTAAAAATAGTGTAGCTCCCTCGATGCAAATAAGAAAATATTAACATATCTACCAGAGGTAAGGTTGTCGGAAAATATATTCTGTCCTAAGAAGAACTGCCAGTGTTAGGCGCTATCGAGGGTGGGGGCGGTGGAGGTGGAGGTGGAGGAGGTAAAGATAACATAGACAATAAAGGCTCATAGGTGTTCTGAGGGCATGTAGGAGGCCACCTCCAATCTACTGGTGGGGGCGGGGGCGGGGGAGGTGGAAAATTTGTATTATGACTAACAGTTTCAAAAGATGGGGATGGGAAGGAATACTGATGCCTTCTCATACTCTCCAGGCTCTGTTGCTGACAAAAAGTAGGTGGTGCATAGTCAGAGGAATAATACTGTGGAGTTATATTAGGCTGTCTATAGAAACGTGGAAAAGGAGCTACATGAGGAGGTCCGCCCCACGAAAATCTGGTGGTAGGTTGTCCTCTACAATATCCACCTGAATATTCGGAAGGAGGCTGTCGTCTGGACTGATAATTGGGCCCATTATTGTCTACAAGAAGGAAACAAAAACCCAAAGAGATGAGCATAATTTAATTATTTATGAATACTGTAAAAACAAGGGAGGCATAATGCTATTTTCCCCAAGACTACACTAACCGTTAATGAAATAAACCGAAGTTCCATAACTCTTGGCATGCTATATAACAGTCATCAAATTGTATACTAATTGCTTATTTTTAAAATATATTTATTTAAAAAGCATACACTTTTTAATATTGTGTAGTACATATTAGGCTGTCTAATAGAAAACACTGAGGTAACACTTGATTTTTTGTGTTATGGACTGCGCGGTTATGGACTTTTAAAAGAAATTTTAACTTTTGTTGGCCAGATGAACTAATTATAAACCTTGAAAGAGGCAACTGTGAATAATTCAAGATTAGTATTATTTTATCAATCAGATACTCCTCATAAATATAAAACCCAAGACTGACAATTGCAAAAATAAGACATCCTAGATCTGAATGAAAGAAATATTCTTATGAAATATTTTGTTCATTACATAGTTGAATGTGCTGATAACAAAATCACACAAAAATTATCAATGGAAATCAAATTTAGCAACACATGGAGGTCTGGATTTGGACTTACACTCAAAATTAAAGTGGAAAAAAACACTACAGGTTGATCCAACTTTGATGTGATGTCCTTCAAACAAGTCAAAATGAGGCTCAATAGTGTTTGGCCTCCACGTGCCTGTATGACCTCCCTACAAAGCCTGGGCATGCTCCTGATGAGGTGGAGGATGGTCTCCTGAGGGATCTCCTCCCACACCTGGACTAAAGCATCCCCCAACTCCTGGACAGTCTGTGGTGCAAGGTGGCGTTGGTGGATGGAGCGAGACATGATGTCCCAGGTGTGCTCAATTGGATCCAGGTCTGGGGAACGGGCGGGCCAGTCCATAGCATCAATGCCTTCATCTTGCAGGAACTGCTGACACACTCCAGCCACATGAGGTCTAGCATTGTCGTGCATTAGGAGGAACCCAGGGCCAACTGCACCAGCATATGGTCTCGCAAGAGGTCTGAGGATCTCACCTCATCTCGTACCTAATGGCAGTCAGGCTACCTCTGGTGAGCACCTGGAGGGCTGTGCGGCCCCCTAAAGAAATGCCACCCCACACCATTACTGACCCACTGCCAAACCGGTCATGCTGGAGGAGGTTGCAGGCAGCAGAATGTTCTCCAGGGCATCCCCAGATCCTGTCACGTCTGTCACATGTGCTCAGTGCAAACCTGCTTTCATCTGTGAAGAGCACAGGGCGTCAGTGGCAAATTTGCCAATCTTGCTGTTCTCTGGCAAATGCCAAATGTCCTGCACGGTGTTGGGGTGTAAGCACAACCCCCACCTGTGGACGTCGCGCCCTCATACCACTCTCATGGAGTCTGTTTCTGACCGCTTGAGCAGCCACATGCACATTTGTGGCCCGCTGGAGGTCATTTTGCAGGGCTTTGGCAGTGCTCCTCCTGTCCTTCCTTGCACAAAGGCAGAGGTAGAGGTCCTGATGATGGGTTGTTGCCCTCCTATGGCCTCCTCCACGTCTCCTGATGTACTGGCCTGTCTCCTGGTAGTGCCTCCATGCTCTGGACACTACGCTGACATACACAGCAAACCTTCTTGCCACAGCTCGCATTGATGTGCCATCCTGGATGAGCTGCACTGCCTGAGCCACTTGTGTGGGTTGTAGACTCCGCCTCATGCTACCACTAGAGTGAAAGCACTACTAGCATTCAAAAGTGACCAAGCCATCAGCCAGAAAGCATAGGAACTGAGAAGTGGTCTGTGGTCACCATCTGAAAAAACGCTCCTTTATTGGGGATGTCTTGCTAGATACCTATCCTTTCTACCTGTTGTCTATTTCATTTGCACAACAGCATGTGAAATTGATTGTCAATCAGTGTTGCTGTCTAAGTGGACAGTTTGATTTCACAGAGGTGTGATTGATTGGAGTTACATTGTGTTGTTTAAGTGTTCCCTTTATTTTTTTCAGCAGCGTACATGATTATCCATGTCCCACTTTCCAACATTCAGCATTACCTAAGTAAAATGATTGATCTGCAATTCTGACATACAAAGGTAGCATTTTTCTTAGTAAATACCAAGAATCAATATTCTTTTGCATTTCACTGTTTCTATTTACTTGATGCCTGAATAGCTGAAGAAATCTGCTCTTCCACTTTCTATAAAGGGTAATTTTTATAAATATAAAAATACTAAATTTGAAAGGCACTTAAATATATATAAATATATAAAATCCAAAGTATATAATGGATCGTATCTACGTTAAACAAATAGTATATAAAACTGAACGTCCTGTCTGTTTAAGGGTTTATTCAATATTTCGGAATAGCAGCTACTTACGGCTATCATTTTGCTGTGATCTGAGCTTCTTTCTTTTTATATTCTGAGATTTCTTGTGTGATTTCGCTGCTTTTTCTTTTTCATCATCACTGAAATCTAAAGCCTAGAAAAAAAAAACTGGAAGCTTAAAAAAAAAGGTGAAGGCTTGCATTTTATAGCAATTCCACAATACCTAGCCATTTAAACATATATCCAAGAACGCTGCAGTGTTCTGAATTTAATTCCAAAAACATGCTTCAGTGCAAGGAAACGCATAAGGCTAGCACTTCTCTGCAACTCTGTGAGATTCGTGTCTTTTCACACAGCATGTATGCTCTTAAAAAGTTGAAATGGCATTATGTTTGCACTCCTATTGTCCCCGATGCACCCTTTCCAGATTTTTTCCAAAATACTTCATAGCCGCTTTTCAATTATAATAATTCAGAAATTAAGTGACATAAAATCACTTTACCACTGGATCACCTAGAATACTAGACTTGTATGCTTGGAGGAACAGAACACGGACAGCGCTAGAATATTCTGTTTCTGGATCTGCAGGTTTGCATATCCCTATTGGGTGGTATTCGTCATTGTAGGAGAAGGGAATTTCAGTTATCAGCTCAGGAATAAAATATAAGATTCTCCAGGAGGAGACATTCATTTTCCCAAGTTAATGTTAAGTTAAGTGATGCTCTGCATATATATTATTCTTTTAAAAAGAAAAGAAGTACATTTTGAATTCAAAAAACTAAAGCGCAAAATCAGTATGCAAACGATATCCTTGCCTCAGGAGGTGGCTCTTCATCATTCTTCCAAGATGCATCCGATCCCTTTTCTCTAGAATGCAAAGAAAAAAAAATATGTTTCTTTTTTGTACAGAACAAAAGATAGATCCCTATGTGCACCCACACAATAATATTAGCATTATTTGGAAGTTAATATTTTCTTCTTTAAAAGAAAACTAACTCATGGTGCTTCACAAGAAAAATGGCAAACTCTTACCAGATGTGTATTTTCAGATACTTTCTAGAACAAGGGTCTCCATCCTCAGTCCATGGACCAGCACCCTCTCCACTGAACCAGGCCCTGGTGCCCAAAATGTTGGGGGCGGCTGCTCTAGAACAACCTTCCTCAATTGGAAGACCAATGCTTTTCTGACTATAGTAGTCACAACAATAATTGCAAGTTACTGACTAGATTATATTCAAAAAAAAAAAAAAATGGTGGATAGCAAGTAAAGGAAGACTGAGCCTTTGTAGAGAATCCAGCTCATAACCAAAATTTTAAATACAGAATCAAGTTATGAAATATATGAGGTAACATGTAAATCTTAACTCTCAATTGTTGAGATATAAACATGCAGAGATAGGTCATTAGGGTTAGGTCATCAGGACCTAAATAGGAGGAGGAAGGTGTGTTGGATAAGTTTGCCACCTTAGTTATTCGTAAATAATAAATAAATACATCACACTCAAACAACAAGCCAGTTGATCAATTCCTGTCTCAACCAATGGATCAATACTTGGTTGATCTGAAAAAAATCAGATCTTGCACTTGCAAAAAAAACATTAGGCAGAAATATATATACACATCAAACTTACCGTTTCAATTTTTCTGGAAATATGTACTGAGTGAAGCTTTCCACAGCTGGAGCAAAATATACTGCATCTTTTATTTTAATATCTTTAGACTGAATGTGCTCAAGACTGTTAAACTGTACTACATAAAAGGGATGTGACACTGGGCCAAATATCTCAAAGATCTGCAAGACAACAAATGTTATTGCTTCATAAAAACAAGTTCTGTATTTATATGATTACATTTAAAAGGAAAATTATTGGGGGAGGGAGAATATATTTTTCTAACCTCTGAAATTCAGCTTCAAATTTGAATGCTTATAAGTTCCCCAAATCAATTTTAATATTATTTATTAATAGAAGGAATGTGTACAGCTCATAACCTTGATCTGTGGAGTCTTGATCCTCTCTGAGCTTGTCTGTTTACTTGTAGTTGCTTTCTGACTCAGCTACATAACATCTTCTGTTTTAGTAAAGAGTGCTTTTAAGGAATGTCAGAGTTTCCAGATAAGGAACTTGCAGAATATCACAGAAAATACAGGTTTTAGAATCAAATAACAATGACTAATTTCAAGCTCAAATACTAAACTCATTAAAACAACATGGTTTAAAAGAACATTACACTGATTTCTTTTTTAAAAAAATCTTGACTTTTAATATATCATTCAGAATTCAAATTTCTCAATAATTTTGTGAACTGGTAATTATTTAGTAATTACCTATATATTGGTAATTATCTTTATACTACTAAAAATCTTGATCTGTACCCCTTAACTGGGCAAAACAATGGATCACAAGGCAACAGTTTTTGAACCTCAAATGGGCTGACTACAGAATACATCCAAAATCCAGCACCCATGATTTTCTGTGGGATTGAAATTTGGCAAATTTGTGGTCACTTCACCGCTGCCAAACTACTGCCCGGAAGTTGAGTAGACTGGTCCTGTTCTAAATCTCTGGAGGTCAGGTAGAACCCACCCCCACTCCTTTGGCTCCTGGAAATCAGGTAAATCGATCTTACTCTAAACCTCTAGGATAGACTGGTTCTGCATTACCTACCATAGGTGATCAACCATGGTCAAACCAGCAGGAAGCTGGAAATTGCTCATGTTCCCAATGATTTTTTGACCTTGGTCATTCTATATCTTTATTTAGTTAAGGAAGTATGAAATGAGGTTAAGGGTTGGCTAGTTAATAATACAAATTATGGTACTTCCAACCTAGAAGAGTCAATTGATTTCTAATCTAGTTTCTTGTTAAGTGACATAACAAGCATTTATGTTATGAAATCATTTTTATTTAACAATTGGATTAATTTTAGATGCATGGCAGCGGTTTTAGGATCATTTGAGGAAAAGTTAGCAACTCAGCTGTTTATGTTTAATTTTTTATACACACTATTCTATTTATTTGTGTTTCATATATTTTTCAAGAATATTAAGGCAAATCTTATACAAATGAAAAGTTAAACAAGCCGTATCAACAGATGTACTGTATCATAAAAATATTCTCCTGACCTAAATTTTCCTAGCAATATGTGCTTTGCAAATCAGGTAACATACAGTATTTTCCTAAAGAACTTACTTACTATGGTAATATGTCTCAAAAATGTCTTTATGCTGCTAATACTTTTAAAAACATTGCAAAAACACTGTTTAGTGGCATTAGCAATCAATGAGAAAGCAATGAAACAATAAAGACAGATGACTAAAATATTCATTGAAATAATTAAAAAATCATTTACTTTTCCTAATGAATGACGATTTTCCTTGAAAAGTACTGTATTTTCATTCACTGGAGGAAGTCCCTTCTCGGACTCAATTATTACTAAAAAAAGGGAAAAAAATCTGAATATTTTGCTAAATTCTTCTAAAAACAGGTAAAGTATATTGTACTAGCTTAATTCATATTATCAATGAACATCATAGGCATACTGAAAACAAAGGCTATAAATTGCCATACCTGCTATGATAGATAACCTTTTAGTTTCAAAAGAAATAATTTGCTTAAATTCCAACTTTTATATTTCAATTTGCAAATGAAACTGGTTTAAAATGTTTTAGCGCTGTGCATTGCAGTAGACTTACAATTTATATTGTAATATTCACTGGTTGTAATTCAGGAATTACAGAAGAAAAAGCAAGAGTCATCTACAACATACAGTATCTGCACTATGTTCATCCCATCTTAAGAGGCTTCTAGATTTAGAAGGCCATGAATTAAAATTTGGCTGGCACGGTTACCTATGGTATGATAAAGTTAAAATAAATGATGATTTCAACAACCATTTTGTCAGTCATGCTATTTTGAGAGATTGGAATAAATATAAAACAAGTTTTCCCAAGAAGGAAGATTTAGATAAAAAGAATGATGGGTTTATAACTTTGTTAAAAATGAATTCTTTTATTTCTACTGGACTTTGTGCTTGAGGTGGAAAATAAAATGAAACATTGATTTTGGATTTTATCAATTATATTTGTTGTTATAGAAATTTCTAGTTTATACAATTTTGTAAAAGTAAAAAGCTGAAGTTTGATATTAATACCTTATTCTACTGAACCAAAGCGAGTTGGAAGTCAATGCCTTTTTTTTCTTTTTTTCCCCCTTGCCTTCCTCCCCTACTCTCCTCTTCCCTTTTCCCTTCTAATTTCCCTGTTTACATTTGTTTAAACCAGAAACAATTATTTGCAATCAAAAAGGTTAAATTGAATAATGAATGGCTTATATGGTTTATTCTGCAAACGATTAATTTAAAAATATGCCTGCACAACACTTGCAAATGTTAATGCTTTGTAAATGCAAAACAAATACTATTTGTTATAGTAACACTATTAAAGGAGAATATTTGTACTTCAGGGTTGAAATGAGGAGTCTTCAGTGCTCTCTGAGCTTGGTTATTTTCATGCAGACGTTGACTAACACTGATGATGTTACCTACTGTGGGTAATAAAACTTATGCAACAAAACCACTTTGGTTAGGTGATTCAGGTACAATTTTTAGAATGCGCTTAAAATAAATGAGATGCTATGTTATTTGGTGGAATTTTTGCTGAATTTTGTGCAGGATTTCTCTTTTGACCTAACAGGGAATTTATAGATTTTCCTTTAGGAGGAGGGGTGGTGACGGCTATAAAATGTTATTGAAAATGAAATATTTTGTGGGAGGATGCAAAATAATCACAAAAAGTCACAATTGCTCACTCTTGTACTAAACAATCAAATACTCCATAAATAACTAATAATAACATTTTCAGGGAACACAAAATGCACACTCCTACACATCTTCTTACCTTGATGTTCAATGATACTGGAAACTTGTCCAAAAGGCATTAGTTTAATAGATTCAGGAAGAATTATCATTAGGTCTTCAACAAGAAGTGGCGCCTGCTGAATAAATAATTTTTAAAATTTATTTGCATGCTAAGGCCCATATCCTATTTTTTCCAATCTAAGTGGCTTAATTAGCATTCACTACAGGCTATAATTATTTTCTTACTGATATTAATGATTTATGCTGACAAGCTCTATATCTAAAGATAACCACAAATACACAGAAAAGTGCTTCTCTTCAGTTCTCCAGAACAAGAAAATGCTGTACTTGTGCACTCTTGGCCAAAACCACTTCAATCTTCTAGGAAAATTGGACAAAATTGGACAATTGGCCAAAATGAGTAGCTGAAGTAACTAAGCAATCTGGTACTTTTTTTTATAAGACATTTGTATAATACAGTTGCATCACATGATTTAACACTTGTAAGGTAACTAAAATAACAAGGGAAAGGACAAAAGGAAATAAGACTTTGAAGGTAAATGTGTCTTTGTAGCCCATCTTTCTTCCATGCCTTGTGCACATGACCAAAGGAGGAACTACTAAAACATTCCGTGAAAGAGTTCACGTCAATTAGATAGGAGATACATGTAATATAGACAACTTATGGTGAAACTGAATAAAATTTCTCATCTACAAGTAATTCCACTTCATGAAAACAGCAATTCTCAAGGACAAAATAGATTCAGGATATCTGATTGGAAAAGAGTCTGCTATAAACATTTATATGAAGGATCAAAGAAATAAAGTACCTCGATTTGCACAATATCCTTCTATCTGCTGTTCCCTCATGTTTTATTATTTTGCTAAATGTAGCTTGGTGATAATTTTTCCTAAGTAACACCGAAATGTGTTTTACAGCAGCAAAGACACTTACTTTAGTTGAGTCACTTTTGTTTTTAGTAGTAGCAGAATTGTTTTCATTTTTATCTTGATAATCATCATCAGACAACAACGCAGGAGAGGGAGAAGAGGAAAGAGAAGATGAACTGTCTGCATCAGTATCACTGCAAAGGGAGATATTATTTTTATGTTCTGCCACGTTAATTTAAAAAAGCATTAGCAATGATCACAAGGCCTGACTTGGACTGGAATCTCCTTTTTTAGCAATAAGTCACAGTGGGCAGAAAGGACTTATCTCGGGTGTCCTGTCTGTTCTGTAGAAGCTATTAAGAAAAACCCTCCATTTCACATAACAACCCACAGTACTGCAAAACTGGCAAAGGGCAGTTTTCATAGTCCTTTGTGAACTGTCAAGTTTAAAGCTATTAGGCTTACCTCTTTGGTCCAGGCGTCTTCAAACTTGATAGCTTTAAAACTTGTGGACTTCAACTCCCAGAATTCTTCCTCCAATCAGGTTAGCTCAGGAATTCTGGGAGTTGAAGTCCACAAGTCTTAACCTTGCCAAGTTTGAAGACCCTTGTGTTAGAGTAATACAAGAACAAGGAATTCATCACAGGAACAATAGAGATGAGATCTGGAGGGGCAATGTGATACAGGAAACTACTACAATAGAGGGGAATGATAGAGCTGCATATAAGATAGAGCAGGGGCCTTCAAACTTGAGAGCTTTAAGATTTGTGGACTTCAACTCCCATAATTCCTCCTCCAGTCATGTTAGCTCAGGAATTCTGGGAGTTGAAGTCTACAAGTCTTAAACTTGCCAAGTTTGAAGGCCCTTGCTTTGGTCTCACAGCTTTAAAAAGGGCGAGTCTCAATGCATTATTTGCCTTATTACTCACCTAAGCTGGCTGACATTAGTGCAATAATTACAGATGTGTACATCACCTAGTTCTCTCTGCCTAAACTAGATTCAGAAGTTAACGGTTTCCTGCCTAAGTAGGGGTTTTTTTATTTTTATTTATTTGATTTGTCAATTGCTTACAAGATAATAGGTATAAGTATAAACATAGTTATGAATACATGGATACATATAAGAAATTAAAAGAAACAATAGGACAAGGACGGTAGGCACTTTGGTGTACTTATGCACGCCCCCTACAGACCCCTTAGGAAAGGGGTGAGGTCAATAGTAGACAGTCTAAGGTTAAAGTTTTTGGGGTTTGGGGAAGAAACCACAGTGTCAGGCAGAGGATTCCAGACATTGACCACTCTGTTGCTGAAGTCGTATTTCCTGCAATCAAGTTTGTTGCGATTAACCTTGAGTTTGTATCTATTGTGTGCTCTTGTGTTGTTATGGTTGAAGCTGAAATATTCATTGACAGGTAGGACATTGCAATGTATGATTTTATATGCTATACTTAGATCGGACCGAAGGCGGCATAGTGTTGGGTTTTCTAGGTCTACAGTTTAGGTTGGACTAAAAGACCTCCAAGGTCCCTTCCAACTCTGTTTATTCTATTCTATTCTACCCCTTATTCTATTCTATTCTATCCCTTATACTATTCTATTCTACCCCTTATTCTATTCTATTCTAGTTCTATTCTTATTCTATTCTACCTCCTATTCTATTCTACCTCTTATTCTATTCTACCCCTTATTCTATTCTACCCCTTATTCTATTCTATTCTATTCTACCCCTTATTCTATTCTATTCT